TGAGAAATGGTGAGTTTGATGTGTGGAATTTAAGACTCACAATTGTCAGATAGAATTGATGTGAGAAATTGGGAGTTTTATAATTTTGTTTTGTTCTGGGAAAATTGAGCAGAGAGAAGCCGGCGAGCCTCTTCCACCTCGCCTCAGGTCCGGCCCTACGCCGACGTCGAGAAGAGAGAAGAGAGAAGCCGGCAGGGGATGGAGAGAAGAAGAGATGGGAGGTTTGAGTTGAGAAGAGAGAAGCCAAGGACAAAAGCTCAAAAGGGTGTTTCGCGTGTTTTGCAAATTTTACTGTAGAAAACACTGAAAACGCCCAAAATGGGATTTTTCTCGTTTTGGGTTTTTAGTACAATTTTTTTTTTTGTTTTCGAGAACGCGTTTTCGAAAATAGGAAAGAGAACACGTTTTCACTATTTTGAAAAATTGAAAACAGAAAACGACCCGAAAACGGCAAAGAGGACAGGGCCTAAGTTTTTGTGTCTTGAATTGGTGGACTATTGTACACTTTTGAGCAAGTTAGATTGGATTTTTGGGCAGTCCTAAAACTTCAAGATAATGTTTTCTAAGTGCTGTTGCTTACAGCTCAACACCGAGGGCTCTATGTGGAGCTCATCAAGATTTATAACGCATCTCGGGATATTTAGAACATCAAAAGCATATGTACTTTCATTTTTATGTTAATGTTGATCTCATCTTTCGTTTTAAGCATATCTACTTTCATCTTTTTCTTTTACTCTTGATTCTTTTTAGTTTCTGAATTGATTAAATCCCATTCAAGGATAAATGCAAGTGTGCAGAAGTTCTATTTTCCCATATAGTTTTACTAGTATATTCCTTATTGCCTATGTCATCCCCACTTGATTCAGCAGCGTCCACCATTTGGAACTAAAAGTGAAAGCCATATTTCGACCCCAATCCATATCTGGTGCTTTGGTTTACTGTTGTTTGTCTGTCTCCATACCTAGTTAGTGCCTACCTGGCCTTAAGGACATAAATTTATGCCAACAATCTTGAACAATGATTCTAGGAAAGCTACAAACTACTTGCCGAAGCTGATTTCAGAATTTTTTAATTTCATAACGGTATAAATTGTTTACACAGATATTTGGAAGTGTTTTGATTGAGCGATTTTTAGACACATTTCTTTCACATAAACGACATGGTTAAGCATTCCAAGATACAAGCAATCAATTTAATAAATTGAGGATGACATTTTTTTTCTTGGAGGTTAGAATGCATATGCATTCGACTACATAGGGCATTTTAGTTACAATTAGTCGGTTACTATTATTTCTATCACAGATTCATGCTTGTATGACTTGAACTAGAGTCTCTATATAGAATAGATATTTCACCCTCCTCTCTTCTATCAGAATATGTTCTTGTAAGGTTTAAATGATGCATCAAATATAAATTTGAAGGACCTCGGATCCCCAACCTTTGAGCAATAGTACAAGAAAGCCTCTAACTTTTCGTATCTCACCCTCTCATATTTTGTTCTTTAAACTTGAATTTTGTCTTTATTTTGTTCATTATTTGGACTGTTGCTTTCATGTATATTCTAAATTTTCTGTCTAAATAAAATTGTCACGAGTTGTATTATCTAATCATACCCTCTTATATATTTCCAAAATATATGCATTATTATAAAAAAAAAAAATATATTATCAGCAAACAAAATCATTGAGTTTCATGAAGTGCTTTACCCAACAAAATAACAACTTAACAAACAATCTAGAAAGTGTTTTACCCGCCCCCAGGGCACATGTGCAAGTGATAAAAAGGGAAGGTGGAAAAACTTCAACTTTGCTTGAGGCTGCCCCGTCAAGGGTTCGAATCCTGAAATATGGATTTTGGTCTTTGGGTAAGTGCAAGTGTATAAGTAGCCTTCCAACCTGTACCCTTGGAGGCATAACATGCGATTTACATTCTTCACCAAAGCCCAGGGCAGGGAAGTGGGAGCCGTCTGGGATGTGGTTCATCCTTTTTTTAGAAAGTGTTTTACCCAACAACATAATATCTTTGACGATGGGCTAAATTGGATGAACAGACCTGTGAATCCTTACTAGTTCTTTTGCCACATCCATTATGTATGGCCTATCTGCTCCTCTTTTAACAGTACATCTCAAAGCAAGTCTCGTGAAAGCCTGCAATTGATGCTCTATTTCGCCTCTCTCCTCTAAAATTATTGGGTCCAAAATTTTACTCAACTCATTCTTGTCAACGAGGTTTTTTACATACTCCGCTAAAGGATGATATTTATGATCTACTTGGAAAGGGCGATGACCAGTTAAGAGTTCAAGGAGAATAAATCCAAACATGTAGACATCACTTTTTTCCGTGATAATGCCTCTTGTCAAATAGTCGCTATCAAGAGATCCTGTCGCCCATACAATAGTATCTACTTTCACCTGTGATTCTCCTGGAGGCAATGCTACGCAGAGTGAGAAATCGACAAGCTTAGCAACACCATTACTGTCTATGACAATGCTTTTGGTGCTTAGATTTGTATGGATGATAGGTGTGGGAAATGCAGTATGAAGATAAACAAGAGCATTTGCAATGTCTTTTGCGATTTTTAGTCGATTACTCCAAGAGAGTGATCTACCAATATTATCCCTTTCTTTGTTTATATAAAGAAGGTCACGCAGATTTNAGTCGATTACTCCAAGAGAGTGATCGACCAATATTATCCCTTTCTTCCCTACTATGAAGAAGGTCATACAGAAGTCCATAATTGATCCCGATTTCATAGATAATAGCAGGAACTTTCAAATCTAAGCAGCAACCCAAGACCTTCATAACATTTTTGTGGTGGTTCATCAGCACCGTGACTACTATGTCGTTGACAGCATAGGACGCCCATTTGTCTCCGTTACCAGAAAAATGGAACTTCTTCACCAGAATAGACCGTTGCTGAAAAATGCCGCTGATGTAATAGCCCGTTGAATCACGCATAACATGTCTGTAATCACTATATCTTAGACTAGGGAAATCGACGTTTGTTGCTTTATTAAGTTCTTCAACGGTAAAGACGCGATAAGAAATGTTATACTTACCGTTAGAGGAAGCAATAAGCCCTTCTANTTCAGAAAAAGAAAAAATAATAATTAGATGCTGCTGGAACTTGAAGAGTTAACAACGTTTGAGGGTCCTAATAAAGACTTTATTCCAAGCATGCAGACAAAATGGCAATAATTCGGTCTTTGGTTTCAGACTTCTCTTTCCTGGATCTTGCATGCAGACTAAAAGTCTTTGTGTGACGTTTCAACGGAATTTGGTAAAAATTAATGCGTAATTTCATCAATTTAAGAGACTAAAAATGCCAGCATGTTCTCGAGACTCGAACTCTTGATTCGATCAAAATCAAATATTCTGTATTTCTTCTTTTTACGTTTCTTGATTTCGATAAATCGTAATGTTACTTGTACATATTTTTTTTACAGGTTGATGTACATGGTGGAAAACTGGTAGGTGTGAAGTTGAAGACTTTGCTGAAAAATGTTAGTGGCAGCCAGCCTAGTATATTTTGACTTAAATGATGAGGTGGGTTCCCTCACATATACACTTTTTATTTAGCCCCCATTTGGTCGAGATTAAAATTAATTTTTTAATAATTTTGATAAAAGTAGATGAAATATATAGTTGAAAAGTTATAAATTTCATAAAATTTGTGGTTAAAATTAATTGTTGATTTTAATTTGTACCAAACAAGGCCTAGTGTGTTAAATTAATATCATTCTCCTTTCTTTTTCATAAGAAATGTCTAGAAATAAATATATTGTTAAATTTTTAGGTTTAGCCAGATGTGCAATCTGAGCATGTTTGGCTAAGGTTAAAAAGTTTACTTACAAGTAAATAAGTAAGTTTAAAAATATAAACTCTTTTAATGGTAGGAGTTGAAAATAAGTATTTTTTTTTAATTTATAATGAAAGGAAATAACATATAGTCCTTAAATGGATAGATAAGTCGAAAATAATGATCCAATGCACGTTTTGTTAGCCCAAGAATAACTAACCAAGAGGGGGGGCGGGGGAGGGGGGGGGGCGGTAAATTGGTTTTTTAAACTTTTTCGAATAATTAACTAAA